TAACCAAGCCTTTTAGTCACCTACCATCTGCCATGTTGTTTCTCACACAGGGCTTCAATCCTGACTTCCAGATGTAACAAAGGCTGGTTAACACCCCTTAATAACTACTTCGCAGTTCCAAGTGCGTTTCTGACAGCCCTCCTAGAGGAATAAATGTGTGGATGCTCTAAAGGGAGCAGAGACAAGCACAGCTCAATTTAGCCACTTCTCCTGGCTGACTGCAGTGATGTGATTCTGGTTCACGAAGCCCTATAGTGGAGTAAAAAGTAATGACTTCTCCTTCCTGCCATGCTGTTCATTTGCCTTCCCCTCCCCCACCCTCTTTTTGGTGACTGTTTTTGGAAATTAGGGTAACTCCCCACAGGTGAACAGCAGGAGAGCCTTTTAAGTCAGGCAAACACCAGGAGCTGCCAGGATTTGTTTGAGCATGAGGAAGATGAAGCATAAAGCTCAAGAGAATATTCTGTTAACAGGCAAAGGTGGCTCATTTTGTACCTGTCCTTTGCAGCTAGTGACACTGGACATGCGAGGCTGTCTAAACTCCCAGATACAGGCCAGGGAGATAGCTCAGTGGCATAAGCATCTGCCTGGCAAGCACAAGGTCCTGAGTTTCATCTCCAGTACCAAAAAACAAACACAAAAAACCTCCCAGACACAAGAATACCAACTTCAACTCAACTGTGAAGGTGTATGTAATTGGGCCTTACATAGGACAGACTTTGATTTCTCTTTAGCTGTGCACACTTACATCAAAAGGCCTAGCCTGAGTGTTAGCAGGGTGGGGCAGTCGTGGAAGATGAGAGGACCAGGGGCTTCAAGATACCCCATCCCAACAAGATGGCCTCAATCTCAACTCCTAAGATTGCTGCAGGACATAACCTCTGAGATGTGACCCAGTTCGGTCCTGAACAAGGTTAGTAGGCCTTATCAAGGACACGGGGGCATAAGCCCACATGGAGCAACTCTGCTCTTCTCACCTTCAGTCTTCCGTGTCAGTGAACTTTCTCTTCTTGTAATTCTGAACAAGGTTGGAAGCTGTGATCTGGGAAGCCTGTCCCTTCTCCCAACACTGAAAGTCATTCAGTCCTTTTTGCCCAGTTTGAAATAAGCCCCTCTCCATCTCATCCAGCCTGGCCACGAGGGCTGAAGTGTCTTCGTTGTAAGCGTTCTGAGAGGAATCCATGATGCGGCGAAAACGGCCAATGAATGTCTGGAGGGGGGAGTGAGTAGAGTCAGGGTTGCTCTCCCATTCCACAAAGGAATAAAAAGGAAAGCTGGTCATTTAGTACTAAATGATCCATTTTTACTGTGGAATATTTAAATGGTACGAAAAAATGTTGGCCTTAGGAGTCAGGAGGAGGACTGAGTGCCCTCTACCACGGAGAATGCCAGGTCTCAGTTACCCTGACTGTGAAATGGTTTATCGAATCTAATGGTCGTTCCCTAAAGCACCCTGTAGCGGCTGCACATAAGCTCACTGAAAAGCATTACCATTACGGTCAAGCAACAAAGGCCATCATAATGTACTGTAGTCCAGGGTAACAGCTTCAACCAGAACAGACTCTTGACTTAACAGTTTCTATTTATCTCAGTTTGAGAGCAGGATGGAGATGCAGGAGATCCCCAGACACCATTTTACCATGGGGCTCGGAGCACAAACCACAAGCCCCTGCTTCTGCTTCTTCCCCCGTCTCATGGGAAAGTCACCGCATCTATAAGCAACTCTGAAGTACTTGAGAGTAAAAGAAGAAAAAGTAAACATACAGCTCACTTGAAAACATAGGACTCTCACTGAAGAATCTGTTCTGGGGCACTGTAAGACAAATGGATTGTCAACATTTTTACCTTTCTGTGCCAAAGAATTCATAAAAGTTGACTGCAAGCTTATAATCTATGTGCATAGGCTATCTATTTATGGATTTTCTTTTTCTGGATGGACAGTAATGTTTTTCTTTACCACCTACATTAAAAGAAGCAGTAATACACGGTGGGCCAATGAACACTTAGCCTAAAGGAGGGTGTCAGTGTAGCACAGGACTCTTCTAAAACACAGAAGGCAGAAGTAAAGCCTTTCAGCTGCTTATGCCTAAATAGGCAGAAAAGGTAGGTTCTCCTAATATTAACAAAACGAAAAACTGTAAAGAGTTAAAATAAAGTCAACACTGAAAAATAATTATAGCTATTGCTTATTAAATATATTAAATAGAAGCACATGATTTTCACAATTCAGTAATTTCAGTGCTATTATTATCTCCATGTTACACAAGAAGAATTCACACCTAGAGAGGCGCAGAAGATCGACCAAATCAAACAACTAGTTCACGGCAGAGCCATGTCTTAACCCTAGAAGAAGGGAATAAAGAATCGAGTAATTCAAGTATTTCTTACAGGAATCCTTAAAACAGTCCTATCAGCAGTAGGAACCTTGACTCGGAGTGCCTATAACCTGTAATCTCTTTTCCTGCTGATCCAAATTTTTAGCAAGCTAATATGAAGGGCAGTAGACAGGTTGTATTTTTTTTTTTTTAAAGTACAGTTAGATATAGGAAAGAAGGCTTGGAGTGCTATTACACAGTAAGGTGACTACAGAAAACAGCCAATAAACTGTATGTAACAAAAAGCTATTTTGAAAATTTTTACCATAAAGAAATGATAGTGGGGCTGGTGAGATGGCTCAGTGGTCTAAAGCATCTACTTAGAACAAGCTAAGCTAAGCAAAGCACAGGGACCAGGGTTCAATCCCCCAGCACCACATGCCAGTCAGCCCCTGCCCCCTGGTGGGCTGAGCTGGCCACACACACACACACACACACACACACACACACACACACACACAAAAAAAAAAAAAAAAATATAAAAAAAAAAAAAAAAAAAAGAAATGATAGTTACGTTTAACTTCACTTAATTACTATATATATATGTGTGTGTGTATATATATATTTATTTATTTAGGTACCACATGGTACTCATTCATATATATAATGCTTGTTTTTAGGTAGCAGTTAAAAATGAATTTAGGGCTGGGGAGATAGCTCAGTGGTCTAAGCACCTGCCTGGTAAGTCCAAGGACCTGGGTTTGAACCCTGGTACATGCTGCGCTGACCTAAAACAGGGAGTGGTGGCACAGGCCTATAATTCCAGCACTGGGGAGGCTGAGACAGGAGGATCATTAGGAGTCTGAACTGTGTAGTGAGACACTGTATCAAAATAAAATAACAAAATAAATAACTTTTAAAAATGAATTTCATTTAAAAATATATTTTTTTCATTGGAAGACAAATTATAATTGCAGACTGACTTGGAATAATAATGAGCTCAGTTTATTGTCATACGTTTCCCTGAGTAAAAGTGGTACCTAGCTGACACCTGCCCCAGCTGCCCCCAAGACAGAGGCAGCACTGTGGGTTCTTACACCAATCACAGCACTTACCTGCAGCAGAGACTGGGATATATCCACATTCTCTGGACTGTCAAAATGGAGGAGCTGGCAGCCAAACCCATAGAAACGGGGCCCCATCTTGTGGAGGTCCACCACATTGGCGTCCGCACTGAACACAGTCCTCCAACCCTGTTGGTAGATCTTGGGGAGCTCCACAGAGAGGATGCGCCGCTTATGGTCAAATAGTCCTTTCGCCAGCCACAGGGGGAGTTCAAGCTTTGAGCCCTGCACCGGACAAACATGTACATGCAAAAAGCAGACAGTCAGTCAGTACAGGCATGTGACAAAATGGAAGCACATGTAAGCTGGTCAGTATTTTTTCTTCTTTTTGGGGGAATGACTCACCTCAGAAGACCTGGTTGTGACCTGAAGAAATGAATTATGTGAGCTGAAAGTTTTATTCTTATTAAATTTGCTCTTTAAACTGTCATTTAAAATCCTTTATTCTGGCTTTTTTTTTTTTTTTCCAGTACTGGGGCTTGAACTCAAGCCCTTAAGCTTGTCAGGTAGGCATGTATTCTACTGAGCTATCTCCCCAGCCCTACTCTAGCTTTAAAAAAGATCCATTCCTTAGCATTACCTAGTTACCTACTATGCACTAGCACACCAGCTTCCTATTCCTAACTTAGACCAAGCTCTCCTGTCCCTCCCACTCCTGCTCTCCGCAGCCTCTGGGAGCCACCATTCTGCTCTCAACTTCTGAGAGATCAGCTCAGGCCAAAGTTTCAGCTCACGATGGAGTGGAGAGAAAACGGACTTATAAAATAGAAACAGGGCAGACAACAAAAATATCACATTTGCGTTTTAAAACACAAAAAATTCTCTATGGCAGACACTTCAGAGGTACAATAAACATTCTGACTTTCTTGAAAGGTCCATGACTATTCTATGCACCACTTGCCAAGTGCCAGCCATGTGCTAAGCGCCACTCTGCACTCTGAGAAGACCGAACGCAGGATCGGCCTGCACTCCGATGGCAGCCTGTGCCTGGCACACAGCCCTGAAGAGGTAAACACCGCTGTATTTTACAAAACTGGAAAGCAAGACGAGGGGGCCACAGTGGATCAAAACTTAAGAGAAACCTCCAAAAAATATCAAGGGCAAACATAACTGCATTACAGAGAGCAGCATGGGCATAACCTCCTTTCTCCAGAACTGCTGCAAACAGTGGGAGCGGCTCTGCAGGAGGAGACAGTGTCTGCTTCTGGCAAACTTCACAGAGCTGGAGAAAAAACCACGAGCTCAAGGCAGCCAGGATGTTAGGGGCCCAGATTGCTATGTTCAGGCTGGCCCCTAACTTAGACCAAGCTTTGAAAAGGAAGGCGAGAGAGAGTAATCCTGGTTATGGGAACCAAATACCTAAGTAATCAGGCACAGATTTTAAAATAAATGTAGAAGTGAAACTAAAGATCTGGAAATGTGGCTCAGTAGTACAGTGGTTGCCTAGCATGTGCAAGGGCCTGGATTTAATACCCAGCACCACAAAACCAAAACAAAATAACAATACTTAAATCGAAGACATTAACAGATTCTGGCAAACCATACTTGCCACAGATGAAGAAAGTATCATAAATTGGAAAAAGGTCAGTAGAAAATAGCTAGGCTAAAGCATGTAGAAAAACAGAAGAGCACAAGAGACACAACAGTATCAACAGGGGGCACGAAGTCTAATCTACACACAATAGAGAGGGGGGACTAGGGCAAAAGAAGTATCTCAAATGATGGCCATGAATTACAGATTAAACCACAGATTGCGGGGCTGGTGAGATGGCTCAGTGGTCTAAAGCACCTACTTAGAACAAGCTTAGCAAAGCACAGGGACCGCGGTTCAATCCCCCAGCACCACATGCCAGC